AACACATTTATTATTTATTTATGTTACATATATAGATATTGAATTAAAGGAGAACGTTGTAAATGTATCAGTGTGTCTGTACATGATTGATTCATTTAAATACATTGTGGTGTTTTGGCGCCGCCTGCCGGACACACCCGGAAGTGTCGCTTCTCTTTGGGAGCGCTTGATTTGTGACAGCGGTGAACACGGCGCACTGGTGCTCGCTTGACTAAAGCTCCTCGGCGGTGCATGTAACCCGGAAAACCCGCTCTATGTTTGCTTTAAACGATGTAAATCTTTCCGTCAGTAACCTGTGAGGCGGTCCGAGCCCAGGTGTGGCTCCACCTGCCCCCCCACCCCACCCCACCCCCGGCTCTACCTGCCCCCCGGGGGGAGGCTGCAGTCACAGCCCAGACAGCTGAGAATCACGTGACGTGACGTGTAACCGGCATGGCGGCGCTGAGCTGAGGTAGCAGCTCTACTGGACGGACACCGATAGCCTGGCTTTGGTTAGCTTTCCTTGTCACCTGCTCATCCGCAGGGCCGGGCCGGACATGTCGGCCTGAGAGAGCAGCGGAACAAACCGAGAGATGCAACAACAACAACAACAACAGCAGCAGCAGCAGCAGCTTCAGCGGCTACAGCAGCAGAAGGCAGAAAACAGCAAAACCAAGAGCATGTTTCTGTCCAGGGCGCTGGAGAAAATCCTCTCTGATAAGGAGGTGAAGAGGAGCCAGCACAGCCAGCTGCGCAAAGCCTGCCAGGTGGCGCTCGGTGAGTGTTTTCTGCGCTGAATCCACTCGTGTTTTATGCGGTGCTTTAGGGGAACGTTTCTGTCGTGTCTGTCTGGTCACACAATCAGGGAGCTACACTGCTAGCTAGCTGGCTAGCTAGCTTTAGCTTGTCAGTGGCCTCCTTCGCGGTGTGTTCAGCCGTCTGTTGGCGTCTACGGGCGGCTGATCGTGTGTTCACATCACTCACAGCTTCATATTTATTCTGCTTTTTTTAATCAGCCTGTTATTGATGCTGTCAGCGTCGGCAGGTAAACAAGCTAACAGGCGTTAGCTGGTGGATGCTAGGTTAGCTAGCCAAACAGACCAATCCGTGTGTTGTACGTAGCACTGAGAGGCAGCCAGACAGCCCCGTCCTGCTCTGCACCCAGACACACAATCCGTCCGCCTCCAGGATCCTCTGACGTCCGAAGCTTTTCCATTCAACACAAACACGGATAGTGTTACACGCCGCTCCGCTCATTGTGTTTCAGCGGCGGTGTGACCCTCCTCCCTGCTGGGTGACAGCTATGAAACAGGTGCATGGTGTGTTGTTGGTGCGGATCAGACGTCTGACAGGCTGGACACAGAAAACCTCAGAACACCAAAAGCCAAAGTGAATTTCACTGATTCTGTCATATCCTGATAAACTTTGGTTTCTAATGTACTCATTGGGCTGCAGTCAATGTTTGGTTATTAGGGTGACATTTATTTAAAATACTCAGGAGGAGACAGACTGCAGTGAGTTTAGGGACAGACATCCACGGTTTAGTAATAATAACCACATAACAAGTGACAGTTGTGTTCATGTGTTGTCATATATTTAACTACACCTCAATTATAGCACAATAAAATGTGCTATCGTTGTTATTTAGCAGGTATTCTGTTCTGTATACTCACATTAATGCCACAGCTGCTGTTGTGAAGCCGCAAAATCTCGAGAAACATATTCTGACATTGCAAAACAGAACAAATTTTTATAGTAAAATATAATCAAGAAAGTAAACTGTGACGCTTTGTGACAGATAACCTGTCAGAGGTGAAGAAAAGTTATTAACTGTTAGACCCTGACTCATCCTGCCTCCATGTCGGGCTGGTTTGTAATTAGAATAAATTAATGAAGTTTGTGTTGAGTGTTGCTTAAATGCACTTCTGAGGGATTGTTAATTGATTACAAATATGTTAATGTCAGAAATGATACTGTAGATTAGCTGCAGTACCTGGCTGTGCCACCAGGTGGAGTTTAACACCGTAGGTCTGTGTTCCGGGGAGGTGCATTGTGGGAGTTCAGCTGGTGCAGTGCAACCATGAGAAAATGACTTGTGGCGTTTAATGGCTGCCAGCAGAGCTTTTAGGCTGTTAGCACCGTTAGCTAATAAATACACAGCAGCAGATGATCAACACGTGTTTGGTGACGTAGGTAGCGCGACATCTGTCACGTGACTGCAGTGAAAACGTATTGATTAGTTTATGTAATCATGCCAAATATGTCTACCTTGTGTTATTGACTGATCAGTTATTGATTGACAAGGCTGCCAACTATTGATTAAGGAATTTATTCAGACTTTGCACCCCATCGCACACTTCTCTGTCTTTGCTCATGTGAATCCTGCTGCTGCAGATGTTTAATAAACTCAGAGGAAAGACTCCTGCAAACATCTGGAAGCAACAAACTCCACTTCAGCTCCTGTTAACGCTTTTAAGGCGGCATGTGCCTCCATCGTTTAAAGGCAGACTGTCTTTTATGATGTTCATGGACGGGACGCACATCTGGCTGCTGCTAGCTTAGCTGCTACAGTATAACGCTGCCTTTAGGCTGTTAGCGCTGGTCGCTAGCATGAGTATGCTACGATAGCAGCAAGCTAGTGGCAGATTGTCTGGGCCAGATCACGCTGATTGAGCAGCATTTTACTGCCATCAAAGCTAAAGCATTAGCATGTGTATCTTGTGGTATCGATTAATCAGTTATTGATTTAAGGTGATTTTAATCTGTAAAGCACTTTGAATGACATTATTGTATGAAAAGCGCTTTAGAAATAAAGATTGACTTGACTTGACTTGATTGACAGGGCTGCCAACTATAGGTGAAAGAATTTATTCAAAAGCTCATGTCGATGCTGTCTGATGCTGCATTCATTCAATAAACTCAGAGGAAATAGTCCTAAACAGCTGGAAGCAACACATCCAGCTGTTGACCTGTTGACCACCTTTTATTCTGTTGTAGTTGTTAATTTCCTCTTTTGTTGTGTTTTTTATTCAGATTTGTTTTCCTAGTCGTTGTGTTTATGTCTTAATGGGTTACTTTCTTCTACTTGTTTAGCATTTTTGTTCAAACCCTGTTGTTTTAAATGGGCTTTATAAATAGCATTGACTTAACATGTCGATCCATTATTAAATCCAAACGGTGTCATTTGTGTTTTCTGAGATGTTTAAGGACGAGACGGACGTCTGGCTGCTGCTCGTTCAGCTCTTACAGTCTCGTGGTGCTTTCACTTGCATTCACTGGACTTTGGGTTTTGAATGAGTTTCAGATGTGGGACGGCTGTGGTTCCCCCTCGGATGTGTCTCTGGTAGCTTGTGATTCCCAGACAACTGGAGGGGCACCGATCAGATACAACTAGTCGGTTTTTTCTCTGTTTTAATGAGAGATTAAAAGTCATGCTGCTTTATCAGGACGTAGGCCGGCTTTACGTCCACAGGCGGTGAGTTGGAGCAGCTTCGTCTGCTCGCTGTGCTGGTCTACGGTGACACTCTCTCATTATTCATGATGCCGACAGAACACAACACTGCTTTTCTCAACCGGTCGCTCAACCAATGGAGGCTGGTTCTGTGTCCCGTTTTGTCTGTCTGCCTGTAAACACATTTAGACCTCCGTTGACGTTGAACTTTTCCAGCACCACATTTTTTCAAAGTTGTTCTTTATATTTTCATCCGTTGACGCTCTGATCTATGAGGTAAACAGTGGAGAGAGAGATTAGCCAGGTAACTAAACAATAAGAGTATTATTGACACCTGTCTAGTTGTGGTTGATTCACCATGAAGACAGGAAGTGAGCTGTGCTACTTACACGCCTGCTCGTTCCTCAGAACACACCGTCAGTCTAACGGCGATTGAGACATTTCTTGTGAATGTTGCACAAGTTGATGCTTCCTCCCTGTAGCTCTGCGATACGTGGCAGCTCGTCGGTTTGCCGGCGCCGTGCGTGAATCAAGCTGACGTGGTCGGTTGCACACGGATAAACACGGATTATTACACCGTGTGTCGTCACACCGGGCAGGTCGGAGGTGTGTGTGCAGCTTTGGACGCATCGATGTGGGTTTAAAATGACAAACAAATGGGAATGAATTGAGTCAGAGCACTCAATTAAATGCACATAATCAGAATACACAATCTTTGAAGAGAAATGCACTTGTCAGGCAACTAAAATGCAACAAACCCAACATGTCCGGTGTAGTTTGGCCCGGTTTCCTCCATGTGGCGTCACGCTGCTCTGAGCTGGACGTCGTTAACTCGTCATCTCTCTGTCTCCCTTTTCTTACAGATGAAATCAAGGAGGAACTGGAGAAGCAAAAGTAAGTATTCTCTGCACACGTCTTTTTTTTTTCTAGATTTTGTGTCCTCTGCTTGTGTGGAGGATGGACCTGATGAGTCAGCAGCGTTCAGGTAACCCACCTGTAGCTGCTGCCTTCACAGCTTCATTAAGGTTCAGGAGTTCAGAGTCCATGATGAAAACATATCGTAGGACAGATCGATTACCGTCCTGGCTGATCATCGTGGCCCATATTCTGATTCTGTAACGTGTGTTCAGCCTCCTCTCTCCGTCCGTCGTCACTCTGTGTCCCAGAACCGTCTCTCAAGCAGCAAAAACAAGAAACCAGGAAGTTAGCTTCTCTCACAGCTGCTAAAGCTACGCTAGCGGCTACGTTAGCATGCAGCCTGAAACAGCATCTGGATGACGATGATTAACGATAAGATCTGGACTTCAGTGGCTAATTAACGTGATAGAACAGTGAAATATTAACACAATAGAGAACAAAGGAGACAAACTGATCGATCTCAGTCCAACGTAGTCGCTCCTATTTCTGTTCTACATGTTTAGTTATAGTCGTACTTATTAACGAAGAAGCCTCGTTATGATGTCGGGTTCTCTGCTGGTTAAACATCTCATTAACCCTCAGAGGTTTTGTGTTTATAAACCACATAGAAGCATGTTCACCGTGCCCAAGGCCGGTGTCTTTATTTCAACACATTTCACATATTCTGGTAGATTAATCGTAGTTTCGGTTTCAGTTGGGGTTTGTTGCTCCTCCCCCTCGTTTATGATTCGTTAGAGCCCCCCCCCCCTCCGCCACAAAGGGGTTCGTTAGGGTCTTTTTAAACGAGGGGGAGGAGCAACAAACCCCCAGTTGAAACTCAGGTGTCAGTGACTCCTTAAGCATATCAGTGTGTGGAACTCCCAACCAGTCAGTCAGAACTGATGAAGCCTCTTGGATGAAACGTCTTCAAGGAACTCAAGCAAGTCCAGTTGCTACGATTAATCTACCAGAGAAACCACGACCTGGAAGACTGAGGATCTCCACAGACAAGATCTGACTCTTATTGTTTCACTTTAACAAACTATATTAACATTTTGGGCTAAAAAACACACAAAAAATCTAAAATCCGATTTGAAAATACACCATTTATTACAATAACAACCACAAACACGCCTAACGAAGCATTTTAGACGTTGAAAATGTGATCATAGGCGGCAGATCTGAACACAGTAAATTTGATATAAAATCAAACTAAACATTTTTAGCTACGTACAAAGCAGGCGTTCTTCCTGTTTTTATCGATGCCACTTCTGAAAAGAGTTTGTGTCCAGAATGAGGAGCTGCACTTCCACAGACTTTCCTTCACTTTTGTTTTGTAAAGCGACAGAAAATGTTGAAAGAAACGCGACACCTGCACCCATATCTTACATTTTACACACGTTTTTTTATTCACGCTCGGTCATAACATCATGTCTCTGGTGTTATGTGGTCTATCGACATGAAACAAAACCTGTGAGAGAGTTTAAAGTCTGCATCTTCGAGTGAAGTCGACAGCATCGCTAGGTTTTCTGTCGTGACGTCTTGCTGGCGTGACAGCGGACCTCTAAGGGTTCATATCATTTATCGTTGTTCTTGATCACCACTAATCGGCATCAGCTGATCCCTAATGCGTACTCAAATGTTAGCTCTTGATTAATTGGCGCTCAGAGGATCTGCAGCCTCAGTGTTTACAGAAGGCCGCTCTCAGCTGTCTGCCTCCGTCTCCACCCTCCAGGGATGGCACCGTGGTCCCGCCCAGAGCCAACTACATCGAGGCCGACAAGTACGTGCTGCCCTTCGAGCTGGCCTGTCAGTCCAAGTCCCCCCGGATAGTCTCCACCTCGCTGGACTGTCTGCAGGTTAATGCTCACCACACACACACACTCACACACTAACGAGCTGCCGGTAACAAACCTCCTCAGCAGGTGTTGTCCCTGATGGCATGAGTAGCCTGAAGGTGGCAGGGTGGCGCCAGGCTCAGATCCTGCTACACCTGTTCCTCACCTTCTGAACAATGGCTCCACATTCCTGACAAACACTCCGTTCTTTAGTCCGCCAGCAGCTACACGAGTACGTCTGCTCTGGTTGTCGTCACGTTTCACACACACACACACACACACACACACACACACACACACACACACTCAGACAGGCTTGTTAATACAGTTTATTTGAGATACAGTAAACACCTTTATTAATCCCGATGTGAGCAGCAAAGGGGAAACATTTAGGAAATATCAGAAAAAAAACATAAGTACGAATTCAGATTGTCCAAATTCCTCTGGATGCCCATGAACAATATTACAAATATCGATAATATATCACAGATTTATCCAGAAGTAGGACAGCACTGATGTTGCACATATAAACATGTGCTTATTTAACTTTTCATACGACTAATTCTACTTGTTTCATCACCGTTTTCTTTGTATTCTGATGTTTTTAATCATGATTTACACAAATACAGCAGCGTGAGTTTGATCAGAACGATGCAGCATAGGTTCAGTTTATATTTTGATTGATTTACAATAGCAGTGGTGCCCTCGGCTGTTTTTACACCCAGTTTATTCCAAGGATGAACGATATTATTCATGCAAAATATCTATAATTTAGAGATTGTCGTGACAGATATGAGTCATGGTTTTAGTGATTTTTTTTTCCTGCAGCACCAAATATTAAAACAATTATGTTATTTTCTATTTTTTTCTGTTCCTCTACTTTAGAATAATATCATCTGTGGGTGAAGTTGTAGCTCCACGAGGCTTCGTTTGGTTTGTTGTGACACGTTTTGCCTTTTATGAAAACTTTGTGTTTAGGTTTGAATTAATTGTTGAGCTCGAGTTTATCTCAGTGACTTTGGACACGACCTGTAATTTTGTAAATTCTGTGCTACAAACTGAAAGTCATCAGCCCTGACAGTGCTGGACAGAAAGGACGTGACGTTGGATGTTTAGTTTGCACTAATGGACGTGCAGGATTCAGTGTTTTGGGAGCTGCAGCTTTGATTTTTGACACAAAAACTGTCTGTTGTAAGTTCCTCCACTTATTTAAAGTGCACTCACCTGCTCAGCTTTGCACAAACCACCTGTAGTTACTCAAAAATGACCTTTTCTTTCCCCCAAACCAAACACACGTGAGCTCTCATAAACCTGAAGCGAGCAGGAATGCAGAATAACACACAAAGCTACTAAACCGTACATCAGACTTGCCTCTGAGCTGTTCCTCGTCTCTCCACGGCAGAAGCTGATTGCGTACGGACACATCACCGGAAACGCCCCCGACAGCAGAACTCCGGGGAAGCGGCTGATCGACCGGCTGGTGGAAACCATCTGCAACTGCTTCCAGGGTCCGCAGACCGACGAGGGAGTCCAGCTCCAGATCATCAAGGTACCGCCGGCCGGTCTCCTCACATCTGGCCGCCGTCAGATCCTCCAGCTGTCGGCGTTGTTGTTGTTGTTGTTGTTTACCTGAACTGTCAGAGCTGAGACCTCCAAACTGGAGTTTCTACGTTTTATGTGAAAGCCGAGGAAGCTTCTGATAGTTTGAGTTAAATAATAAGAAGGAGTTGTATTTATCCCTGGATCTGATTGGAAAAGTTAATTAATCTCTCAATTTTAGTCCAGAAAAACTGCAAAGTTGGATTTAATTCCTTCTTTTATAGGTTTCATTGGAGCTCTACTAAATTTAAATGGTGCGTTATTGTCATGTTTGGTTGTGTGTAAAAGGATCTACCTCATGGAATTGATCATGTAAGTCCTAAACCCTCTGAACCTCAGCCCCATTGGTTAATTTTTACTGCAATATAAAGTCCAGCAGCTCTGAGGAAACAATACAACCAAGACTAGAAGTAAGAGAACTCAAAACATACAGATTTTTTGCAGTTTAACAAAGTTGTGATACCATAAATTCTCTCTCTATATAAAAAAAAATCAACAATTTAATTTTGCCAATTATTGATTTTACACAAATTGAGAAAAACCTGGAATCAAAACGTGGATCTACAGGCTTTAGATTATTATATATTTTTGTTTCCATACTATCTGCCTGGTGTGAACACTGGCTGCAGTTCAGCCGAAAACTCCCAGAATTTTTCTTTCCTGACTGTTGCTCACAGATGAGTTGTTCATAGCTTCATGTTTACGGCAAGGAGTGCAGAATTTTTCATTTTTACAGCATCTGGTTTTTGTAAATATATTTTTTTTGGCAGGTTTTTAAATGAGACGTTTAGAATAAAGTGATTTTGATAAAATGTCACATTTCAAACTTAGATTTGGTTCATTTTTTGCTACGAAACCAAAAGTAAACACGTGACGACTTCAGTGCTCATCAGTAAATGAACATTTTCTACAGTTTCTGGCTCTGAATTATTATTTAAAATTGTACATTTCAAACCCGGCAGCAGCAGCAGCAGCAGCAGCAGCACCGGGGCTTCAGAGTTCAGACTTGTTCTTCCATTTATTCACCTTTTAGCCTCGATAGCGTCTTTGTGTTGAAGCAGTCGCTGTGATCAACAACTGGTGCTTGTTTAAGTTGCCCGTAGCTCATGGAAGACACATCCTGGTCGGCTGTAAAGGGCAAAGTCTCTCCTTGAAGCGGCACAACGTTTTATCACTGTTGACAAAAGATTTAGAGGACAGCTTATCAACATCTGTTTGGATTACAGGCACCGCTGAAGGAGGCTTGAATGTCAGCGCAGGTCATTCATAAAAGCTGGTTTGCACATGAAATGCCACTTCAGGGAAGCAGCCTTGCAGATATTGTTTCAATAACTTGTTGAATGATGCGCCCCAGATGCGGTAAATGAGTGTGATAGCGGCACATCTGTGGCTTTGACGCGATGGAGGGAAGTCGAGCGGTGACTCAGCAGCAGCAGCAGCAGCAGCAGCTGGTTTGACAGCAGACGTCCTGCGCGATAAGTCGTGACTTCCTCTTGTCTCCGTCCAGGCGCTGCTGACGGCGGTGACCTCGCCTCACATCGAGATCCACGAGGGCACGGTGCTGCTGACCGTCAGGACCTGCTACAACATCTACCTGGCCAGCCGCAACCTCATCAACCAGACCACCGCCAAGGCCACGCTCACGCAGATGCTCAACGTCATCTTCACGCGCATGGAGAACCAGGCCGTCAGTTTAACGCCCTCACAGCACGTCACAGCCGTTTTAGCCAAACATGGGGAAATTACGACTTTCTCTTCACTCTGGTTTTAAATTAGATTAGTCCTGAAGGGACAAGGGACAGCCCTGAAGTACATTTAAATCAATTAACGATTTATTTCTTCAGCATATTTCAGAGTAAATTAAAACCTGTCCAGTAGAAAATTATCATAAATAAACTGGAAAAAAGGCAAATTCTGTCATTGTGAGAAGCTGGAACCATGAAATGTTTGGTGTTTTTTTAGTGGAAGGACTTGATTAAAAAAAATATCTAAGTAGTTAATCGCATTTTTATCAAACAACAATATTTGACACCATAAGCAAAGTCAAATAAATGTTGGTTGACGACTGAATCAATGAACAGACGTAAACGTCAATCAGAGTCAGAATGCACTTTATTATCACGTTACAGTGTACAACCATGTAGGAGAGCTCAGATCAAAAGAATTACAACCAGTAAAAGAAAATAAAGTGCAAAATTGCTCAGTAAAAACATAAAAGATAATAAAAGGATAAATATATAAAAGGTAAGAAATAAAAGATTTAAAAAGTGTTACACAAGATATTGGATGTCTTACATACTTAAACAACAGAAGTGTTTATTTTTCATCTGTATTTATCTGCAGTTTTCGTCCGTCTACTCCACTCCAAACTCAACGTGCGATTAGAGCGATTAGATTCAGCATTCTCAGACTTTTTCTCTTATTGTTGCACAGTTTGCACACCACCGTGCTCTTATCCAAACTGCCATCAAGAAGTTAAAAAGAAAAACAAAAAAAAAATAACTTCCTGTCCAACAAGCCCAACAACGCGTCTTGTCTACCATCACCGTTAAAAATTTCTTGTGGGACGCCGCTGTAGCTCACCTGGTTGAGCTGGTATCCTATGTGTAGGGCTACAGTCCCAATGTGGAGGTCATGAGTTCGAATCCCGCTCATAACCCTTTCCCACATGTCCTCCCCCCATTCTTCTCCCCTACTTTCCTGTCTCTCTCTGACTGCGCTATCCAATAAAGGCACAAAGGCCAAAAAAATAACTTAAAAAAACCCAAAAAGCAAAACCAAACTTTCTTGTACGCTGACGTCGCTCGGTGCATCTTCTTCGCAGCTGGTAAACCAACTGTAGTTGCGTTAGCGCCACCTACTGGCTGGAGTGTTACTGCACCAGCGATGCGCCAGAAATTAGGGAACTAAAAAAAAGGTGCGATCAAATGCGTTTTTTTTACGCATTATTTTTTTCTGTAATTAATTAATCGAAATTAACGCGTTCAAGTTCCAGCTGGGTATTTCTACATGAAGAATGAATGATCAAAATAGTTGACAGTTAAGTTTCCATCAGCCAGCTAGTTGTTTAAGCTGTACTTGTATTTACTGTATTTATAGCAAAACATTTAATTCTAAGTAGTGACAACCATCTGCTAACTAAATATAGCGCAGCATCATTGTTGAAAAGAGAATAATCGAGCTAATTACTGCAGATTTCTGAAATATTTGGGTTAACAAACTCTTTAATTTATGAGAAAAATCTTTAATTTCTGTTTTAGTTGAGCTTCAGAAATCAAGGTTAAGACTTATTTTCCTCTGGGTTTGTATTTAAACGTCCCTCTGCCGCCTCCACAGGCTCTGGAGGCTCAGGAGCAGGAGAAGGACCGGCTCCGTCTGCCACAGCAGAACCCGTCTCCGGTCCCGGGCGGCCGGAGGTCTGGTTCCCCTCGGTCCGACCGGACCCCCACCCCGGAGCCCCAGAGCTCCCCATCCCCGGCAGCCAGCACCCCAGACCTCACCAACACCTCCAGCTCCACCCCCCCGCCGCCACCGGCCCCGGACTCAGAGCAGGACCACGCGTCGGAAACGCCCTCCATCAACGGAGAACCCGAAGGCGACAGCGCTCCGATGAACGGAGGAGCCGAACAGGTCACACCATCTAGAGGTACGTGTTGGCTTTTAGCTTAGATTTTAAGTTCTAGCTCGATTAAAGCCTGAACAACACCTGGAGGTGTAAACGTGGACTCCACAGTGTAACAGCTTCATTGATGTTTATGGCTCTTCATAGTTTTTGGTGTTTGTTTAACTCAGATTCAGTTTTCGAAGATGCTGCAGAAACGTCTCCTACAGAAGCTCAGGAGGCCGAAGAGGTGGACCAACCAGAAAACAGCTCAAACCCTGCAGCGACTGAAGGAGAACAACAGACCAACAGTGGAACAGGTCGGAACCTTTCGCCTCTCCTAAACGTTGATACAGATGTCGGCATCGTTGTTGTTTATCATGTTTTCCACAATATGGTTATCAGAGCCGATATTTGGTATTTTTCCAATCATTGAAACCATTCTGGCTCTGATGCAGCCTCCCCTCTGTCTGTCATCACTCTGTGGTCCCTGATTGGTCACATGTCACAAGTAACAGCCAATCACTGGAAGCCGTTGTTTACACAGAGAGACAGATGAGCACATTAGCAGAGCTGTGTTTGGAAGGCGAGGCAGCAGATGATGATGTTGAAGGTCTAATAAACCCTGAGGTCTTCCACGAGCGTGCTCACTTTCCCTATTACACAGAAAACACCCTCATGAGTCACATATTGGTTTCAGTGCCGCTACAACTTACTTTGCAGACGGTGCTCGGCTAATGCTATCGCTAATAGATTTTCTGTACCTCTTTGCCTGTAGCTAACGCTGTCTGGAGCATGGTAGCATCTTTCTAAAGTGACATTAACTTAAAACTCTTCTCTAACTGACAGACACGACCCTCTAGCAGAGACACAAGCTGTAAAAACTGAACAAGAAGCGCAGCTACAAATCAGGAAATTAGCTGCTGTCACGGTAGCTAAAGCTACGCTAATGACTAGTGGCTAAATTAGAAGGCAGTCACGGATTACCCAGAAACAACGTCTGCAGAAGAATAAGAAATTAAGCTTAGTGGGGATTAAAAGTGAACAAAAATAATATCAATGTTGAATGTTGCTGTTAATATGTTTTGTGTATCAGTTCCAAATATCGGTCATCTGCCTTTCTTGATTGTGAAAATCAACACAAAAAAAAGACGATCCCTGTTTCACCATCACGACCTGAAAACTTCCCCTCTGGCCTCCGTTCCAGGACGCGATCTCCCGGTTCACCCGGTTCCAGAGCAGACGGATGTGGTTCCTCCTCGGGTCCGGACAGAAGGTCAGCAGATGAACGGCATCATCGAGGATCGTTCTTCTGTTTCCTCCACCGACATGCTGGTGAGCAGAGCGGTGGCGGCATTACTTATTCATCCGCAGTGTGCCGAGCCTCCTCTGAAGTCGACCTGAAAGCGTTCGTGCTTCATTATTTACAGCCAATAAACTGTCAGTTTGATTTATAAACACGTATCGGACTTTTGAAATGACAGCAGCAAAGTCATGTAACGGTGAAGAATATCATATGAGCTGTTGTTAAATAGTCCCGATCAGCAAAAATACAAAAAAAAAAGTAAATGGAAGAATGTTGTGACTCAGTGAGAGTGACTGAATCAGACTCATTTTCTGATGCTATTCTTGTGTTTGCAATGATTTCATGCCACATTTTATGCTTTGAATTTTATTGCTTCTTGTTGCTCGTTGTAGCTTTGTGCTCTAAATGAAGTCTCTATCATTAACATTAATGAACCTGTTGAGCAGAAAATAGTGACTCTGGAGCTCCGCTGGGAACCTGGAAGTGTTGTGACAGTTTCAAGAAGTCACTTTGCCTTTTTATGTTGTATAGAGTGGGTCTGATTTCCTTTTCCTTGTGCGTCAGGATGCTGAAGCGCTGCAGGGACCTCACAACGCCGCCCGCTTCTCTCACATCCTGCAGAAAGACGCCTTCCTGGTGTTCCGCTCTCTGTGCAAACTCTCCATGAAGCCTCTTGCCGATGGACCTCCTGACCCAAAGTGAGTGTTTCGTCATCCTAGTTCATCAAATTAAGGATTCAATCATAACCATAATAATCCACACCTCGACCTAAAATCATTTTCTGGATGGTTATCTCGTCTTTTATTTGGTATCCTCATGCTATTGTTCGCAGAAAAGGAGTATCTACCTTTGGCCTAGTGCTTCATCTCAGTCTTCAGATTAACTTGCCCTTTTCCATCCCGGTGTGGCCCTGTCATCTCTGGTTACCGTAACATTAGACCCCGGGCCAGTTAGCGTGAATAGGCCTGAGTAAACCGAACCCAGGAAGAAGCTCACAAAGAAGACAGTCTGCCCTTCATGAGATGCTGAATAATAACCATTATCCCGCTCTGAGCCAACTGTACGTCACAATTCATAGACGGGGAATTTCTCGCCCGAGCCTGATCTGATAATTCCTCTCGCCTCGCAGGTCTCATGAGTTGCGGTCCAAGATCGTCTCTCTGCAGCTGCTGCTGTCGGTGCTGCAGGGCGCCGGCCCGGTGTTCCGCACGCACGAGATGTTCGTCAACGCCATCAAACAGTATCTGTGCGTGGCGTTGTCCAAGAACGGCGTCTCGTCTGTGCCCGAGGTGTTCGAGCTCTCCCTGGCCATCTTCCTCACCCTGCTCTCCCACTTTAAGGTCCACCTGAAGATGCAGATTGAGGTAGAAACCCCAGAGTAGCAGCGACCTTTACACCCAACAGCTATGCTATGTTTAAAACGCTGACCTTTTATCTTCTGCCTCGTCCTTCTTTGCCTCCAGGTGTTTTTCCGGGAGATTTTTCTGACCATCCTGGAGACGTCGACCAGCTCCTTCGAGCACAAGTGGATGGTCATTCAGACACTAACACGCATCTGTGCAGGTACACGTTCACTGATGCTACACGGGGGTACGTCAGAAAGCTCTCGACTTCCCCAGAAAACATCACAGCATAAAGATTGTTGCTTTATTTTATTAAATGCACTGATGTTCAAGCTTCACTGTCCCGTCTAAAGCTACATGCAGCTGCTTCTGCCGCCTGATGCTGTGTGGACGGATGCATTTATCACAGCTTTGCTCTCCTTTATTGTTTAATTGCATCTTTTAGTTCAGCAGCTGTGATGCATTGTGGTCTCTAGTCGTGGTTTGACCCGTTTTGCAAGAAGTCAGTCATGAACAATCCTTCACTTTGCCGACACATGCCACTTGTTGGTGAAGAGCTGGTGTGTTTCCATCGTTTGCTTTGTAATATATTAACAGACATCGACATCAGGCTTTGTAGTGTACAGTTATACCCCAAAACAGGAGTTATGTCCCATGTTTCTGAGAGTCGGAGAGCTTTTTGAAGTACCTTCGTACATCTTCCTACGACTAAGCTGCAGATGTAGGTCACCCTGTTTCAGTTTTTTTCTGCCTCTACTGATCAAAGATGTGACGTCTGGTAGCGTCACATGAGAGAACGGAGCTGATGCTGTATTCTAGCAGATGCTGAGAGACACAATTAGTGAAAGATAGCCAGTAAATAGATGTTTAAACATTTTACATTTTTAAAAAAAGGGAGTTTGTAAATGCTGTGCAAGCGCTGTGAGATGACACATGTTGTGAATTTATCTATATAAATAAAACTGAATTGATAAAATTGACATGTTGGTGTAAGTTGGACGGGGGAACATCATCCCATCGTGTTACCACACTGCAGTCACTCAACTGACTGGCATGAATGCATGTAGCACAAGCTCTGTGAAATAATCTTATTGCTATTACACGGCCTCGTGGAACAGTCACTGTATGAGCATGTGACAAATAAAACTCCTGAATCTTGAAATAAGTTCAGGATGTTCAGGATCTGGTAAAAAAAACAACTTAGAATTTGGATTGCCTTTAAATTTTTAAGAAGAAAAACTCTGAGTGTGGATGTGATTTTGCTGCAAAACAAGTTATTATTGTAATTACTGATTTATTGTAGGTTGCCAGGTTGTTTAATTAAATATTTATCTTATATCCATCTTAAATATTTACTGCACAATGTTGTTCTGTTTGCTGCTGGACCTGGGTAATGAATTTCGTTCCCTCGTGTTTTTTGGATTTGATAAAAGTGAAACTGATCACATGAGCCAGCAATATGTTATCACCACATTTTACGAATAAAGTTGTTTTTTTTACAATCACATTGAGCAGTTTTTGATCTCCTCTGGGTTTCCTCCCTCCAGATGCTCAGTGCGTGGTCGACATCTACGTGAACTACGACTGTGACTTAAATGCCGCCAACATTTTTGAGCGTCTCGTCAACGACCTGTCGAAGATCGCTCAGGGCCGGAGTGGCCAGGAGCTGGGCATGACTCCTCTGCAGGTTAAACACCACACCAGAGTCCTCACATTTAAGGTTTATATTTTAAATCCTTCACTAAAATGATTTTGTGTGATACCTGCAGGAGCTGAGCCTTCGTAAAAAGGGTTTGGAGTGTCTGGTGTCCATCCTTAAATGTATGGTGGAGTGGAGCAAAGACATGTACGTCAACCCGAACCTTCAGGCGAACCTCGGTGAGTTTCCGTGGATGTGTGAGTGATGCACGGGAGGCTGAGGAGTCTAAACATGAACTTAATATGTGAATGTTTTGTGTGCAGGTCAGGAGCATCCGTCCGACAGCGAGGCAGGAGAGCTGAAGCTTCCTGAGCAGCTGGCCGGACGTCGGGACAGCATCAGCTCGCTGGACTCCACCGTCTCCTCCAGCGTGGCCACGTCGCAGGCCGACCATCCGGAGCAGTACGAGGTCATCAAGCAGCAGAAGGACATCATCGAGCACGGCATCGAACTGTGAGCGCCTTTTTCTCAGTCGTTTTAGGATTAATTTAGGATCGATGAGCAAACGTTTGTCTTTTCGTTCTCTCTGCAGCTTCAACAAGAAGCCGAAGCGCGGCATCCAGTACCTGCAGGACCAGGGCATGTTGGGCTCCACAGCCGAGGACATCGCCCAGTTCCTCCACCAAGAGGACCGACTGGACACGGTGAGGAACAGCACAAACCTGAAGCATGCGTCGAACCCGCTCAGTCAGGTTTGTAACCCTGCAACTGCTTTACCTGTGCACCCGCAGACGCAGGTGGGCGAGTTCCTGGGCGAGAACATCAAGTTCAACAAAGAGGTGATGTACTGCTACGTGGACCATCTGGACTTTTGCGGACGGGACTTTGTGTCTGCGCTCCGAGCGTTTCTGGAGGGCTTCAGGCTGCCGGGGGAGGCCCAGAAGATCGACAGGCTGATGGAGAAGTTTGCTGCTCGGTACCTGGAGTGCAACCAGGGGTAAGATCCGCAATGTCCTGCTACTTTATGTGGGATTTAGAGAGAAGTGTTTGTGCTTGAC